GTTGAAAATAAAATATTCTTAACCTAAGCCTCTGTTTAAGCCACATTAAAATTTTCATTTTCATTCTTCTACTCATTTTCAACCACACATTCATCAATAAATAATATTTTCCATCACATCAATAACTTTTCCTTCTTTTTCAACCATAAATTCTCCATCGATCTACTATTCCAGAATATATTTTTCCAAAATAATGTGGACCAGACATACCCTCAATTTGAATTAAACTTGATTATTTAGCTAGAGGACTAGAATCGTTCATTTTCGTTTATGGAAAACTAAAATTAGTTACAATGAGGGGGTCAAGTGCAAATTGGTGATAATTCGAGATGGGGCAATATATAATTTACCCAAAATATTATGATAAAATTGGAATATCATAAAAGTACAATTGAAAATGGAGGAGTTAATTAAACGAGTGGACACTGAATTTTATACTTAGTTACTACTTGCTCAATGATAAATAAAAAGTTACTAAATGCTCACTGAATTATTCAATTATTTACCTATTCATCACCCTGGTCATTTTCGTTTATTGAAATCAAATTCATCCCCAAATAATCCCAAATCTTAGGGTTTCTCCACAAACTAATTACTTCAATTGGCAATTTCAGGTTCGTATCCACATCTAAGAAGTTCAACATCTACGTTCCCAATTAATAGAAATTTCTGAAATTCACATTTCGTCCCAGATCAGAGCGAACCTTAGGTTTGTTCTCCAAATCAATTTCTGCAATTGGGAAATGGTAAATTGCATCCTCATCGTAGTATTTCCAAGAAGGAGTCTGTCATTTGAAATTGACATTTGAAGAACAATTATGGTTGTTTTAGCTGGTAGGTGTGTTGTTCTTGATGCCGATTTTTGAATTGTAGTGTTTTTATTTTTGGCATATTGTTAGTGTAAAAATGTAGGGACATAGGTGTGGAGATGTTAGGATGTTGGTGTATTGTTAGTGTAGGGATGTAGATTTTGTTCTAGTTGATAAATTGCAGTTTGTAATTGAATGGCCAAATAGAAATTCCGGTATATGAATTGGCAGTTTGTTGGTGTACTGTTTGTGGCGGTTTGATTTATGGAGTTTTGTTATTTGAATTGACAGTCTAGTTTATGATTGTCGTGAACATAATGCAAGTTATTTTTCCTAATTGTTGAATTGGCTCTGAANAAATGGAGGAGTTAATTAAACGAGTGGACACTGAATTTTATACTTAGTTACTACTTGCTCAATGAAAAATAAAAAGTTACTAAATGCTCACTGAATTATTCAATTATTTACCTATTCATCACCCTGGTCATTTTCGTTTATTGAAATCAAATTCATCCCCAAATAATCCCAAATCCTAGGGTTTCTCCACAAACTAATTACTTCAATTGGCAATTTCAGGTTCGTATCCACATCTAAGAAGTTCAACATCTACGTTCCCAATTAATAGAAATTTCTGAAATTCACATTTCGTCCCAAATCAGAGCGAACCCTAGGTTTGTTCTCCAAATCAATTTCTGCAATTGGGAAATGGTAAATTGCATCCTCATCGTAGTATTTCCAAGAAGTAGTCTGTCATTTGAAATTGACATTTGAAGAACAATTATGGTTGTTTTAGCCGGTAGGTGTGTTGTTCTTGATGCCGATTTTTGAATTGTAGTGTTTTTCTTTTTGGCATATTGTTAGTGTAAAAATGTAGGGACATAGGTCTGGAGATGTTAGGATGTTGGTGTATTGTTAGTGTAGGGATGTAGATTTTGTTCTAGTTTATAAATTGCAGTTTGTAATTGAATGGCCAAATAGAAATTCCAGTATATGAATTGGCAGTTTGTTGGTGTACTGTTTGTGACGGTTTGATTTATGGAGTTTTGTTATTTGAATTGACAGTCTAGTTTATGATTGTTGTGAACATAATGCAAGTTATTTTTCCTAATTGTTGAATTGGCTCTGAAAATCATAAGCAGTGTTGTCAAAATTACAAGAGTATTAATTAGAAATATGTAAATGCTTTTGAGGATTCAGTTATAGATTTTGCTTTTCTTCAGGGCTATGCACAACAAGGTCTTGAATTGTAACCCTCCCAATTGTTCATTTAAGGCTCATGTTTCAGATATTTGCTGCATCTCCCACAAGATCATTCAAAATTTGTTACAAGGAGATTAGCCAATGATGCACTTCAAGAAACAATGCATTTCTTCCATGGGTTAGTGTCTCTTGTAGTGCAGAAGCAAATACTAAGAAGCAAGCAGGAACATGACACGTCTACACCCTTGTAAACAAGGAGGGTCAGGACACGCTAGTAGTTGCTGGTAGAAGACACAATGTATGTTGATTCTTCGGCTGGTTGTTGATATAATATGAAAATCAAATGACTTCATGAATTGATGATGCTTGGCTGATTGTTGCTGATGAATATAGCATGACAGAAAGGCTAAAGTCCAGTATTAATGCTTGTTGTTAATGCTGAATTTTGATGTAAAACTAAGCTAACTGTATAAATGATATAGTTTTACATTTAAGTTCACAAACATGGTGGACAAATATGATTTTCAGTCCCTTGGTGCAGATGAAAGAGCTACTGGTTTAAAGGGTTTTGCGTACTTGGTGCAGACATAAATTCAAAAATCTTCGCGATGTTGCTTTGTGTAATTGTGTGATCATTTTCATCCCATACATGGCCTTTCAGGTTTCAGTTTTTAAATGCATATTCTGCAGCTCATGGATTAATGCAATGATTAAAATCAGTAATGTCACGGTTGTTCCCATTTTTATGACAACAATCAATCTGTTATTGGAGAGGCTGGTAGTTAGCTCCAATCTATTAAAGGTTATCTTGTTGTCCCAGGTACTGCAGAGATAAATATGTTAAAGGTTATCTTCTTGTTGTCCTCAGTTGAGCGCCATTTTTCTTTGCCTCTTTCTTCCCTAAAGCAACCAAAAAGCAAAATTGCAATGAACACATAAAACCAACTTCATTGTCTCAATTATCATTTAATACTAACAAACTAGACCAAAAGCAAGATTGAACCAACTTCACAGCCATCATAGTGGACTCGACGTGATTAACAGTGAGAACAAGACCTATCCACTCAACGTTGTTCAAAGGGATGATGACAACCCTGACATTTCTGTGCAATTTTCCCCAGTAAATCTTAAAATAGTTATTGGTTGTGTCTTTATCAAATGGATGGAGAACATCTGGGATGTGGATTTTGAAGCTAGTATTGCACCTATGATGCCAATTGAAGTAATTAGTTTGAGGATAAACCCTAGGATTTGGGGATGAAGGAGTTCAATCTATGGATTTAATTAGGGAATTTTTGATTTAACCCAGTTGGAGAAGTCATGGTTACCAAAAGCAATTTACAGTGACTTGGAGTGATTAACTGGTTCCGTGTGGCATGTCATCTTTTCATCTTCCACGTGGAATTTTTTGCCAATTGTATAAAGGAAAATGATCATTGTGATGGATGGCTAAATAAATAAATAAATAGTTGAACGTGCATTCAATGACCTTCTGTTGTGTGAGCAAGTAGTAATTCATCTAATTAACTTGAAATGGAGCCCATCTTCCCAATCAGATCTTCGAAGGGAAGGAATTATTTCAGACTTCCGATAATTGTTTCGCCCTCTAAAATTTTCCCAATTTTCTTCTCTTTCTCCCTATATATATCATTGCGATCACTGCTTTATATATATTACCTCAATTTGAACAATCAATCAATCAAGTGGGTAACAATGGCGACTCGGTACTGGGCCGTGTCTCTTCCCGTGGCGCAAAGCTCCTCCACATCAGCCCTCTGGAGTCGCCTTCAGGAATCCATCTCCAAAAATGCCTTCGAGACATTTTTTTTTTTAAAGGTAATCAAAATTTTTATATATATAAAAAAAATCATAATACACAAGAAGTGTACTATCACTTTAAATCAGAGAGAAACATCATGAAATTAGGCACCCCTACTATATGCTTAGTTGCCGCAGCATTAACCCAAGAATACAAAGTGAAATAAAACAACTCCCTAATCTGCTCTGTTGTCCGTGATTCGTCTTCAAAACAGCGACTGTTTCTTTCTCTCCACACACACCAAACGATGCATCCCGGAATAAGACCCCAAACAAGTTTGCTATCCTTATTTCTAAACTTTCTCCTCCACGCCTTTAACGTGTCCTCCATATGCCTCAACAACACCCAATCCATATGTTGCGACGTCAAAATATCATTCCACAATAGACGCGCAGCATCACAATGAAGGAATAAGTCGAACAACTTTATTGAAGGGGTGTCTCACAAAATTCGGAGGCAGATTGAGGATTTAGAGAGGTTTTCGGGTGTGGTGAGTAGCTCTCTCACAGTTGATGGAGTGCTTGTTGACTCTTATCTCACTAGGTAAATCTTAACGCTTACTTGTTTATGGGTTTATTTGATTTTTCTATTTCTTTTTGAAGTAAATGAATTTGGTTTTGTGACCATAGATTTGTGTGGGATGAAGCAAAATATCCAACAATGTCTCCACTCAGGGAGATCGTGGATGGAATTCATGTACAAATTGCCAAGATTGAGGATGATCTCAAGGTATATTTGTTTCCTGTTTTATTTTATTTTATATATTTTTTGAAGTTGAAATTGGATGTTGTCACGATGTTTCTGAGTTCTGGAAGGACTCCTCTACTCTGTGAAATTTGTACAAGTGCTTTTGAATTTTCTGGAGTCGCCTTCAGGAATCCATCTCCAAAAATGCCTTCGATACATCCCTTTACAGAGTAATATTATGTAGAATTATATAATATCATAGTTGAATTTTTCCGAGACTTACTTTTTATGATTTGTATTTTGCAGTTTAACATTCCGAATCTTCGGGTGGGCACTCTAGATTCGCTATTGGCACTCAGCGATGACCTTTTGAAGGTAAGTTATTTATTTTTAGTATTCTGAAATTTCAGCTGATTTTATTACATTTTCTAGTATTTTGAGGAAACTTTGAAAATTTTAAATTTCAATTTTTTTGGCAGTCGAACAACTTTATTGAAGGGGTGTCTCACAAAATTCGGAGGCAGATTGAGGATTTAGAGAGGTTTTCGGGTGTGGTGAGTAGCTCTCTCACAGTTGATGGGGTGCTTGTTGACTCTTATCTCACTAGGTAAATCTTAACGCTTACTTGTTTATGGGTTTATTTGATTTTTCTTTTTCTTTTTGAAGTAAATGAATTTGGTTTTGTGACCATAGATTTGTGTGGGATGAAGCAAAATATCCAACAATGTCTCCACTTAGGGAGATCGTGGATGGAATTCATGTACAAATTGCCAAGATTGAGGATGATCTCAAGGTATATTTGTTTCCTGTTTTATTTTATTTTATATATTTTTTAAAGTTGAAATTGGATGTTGTCACGATGTTTCTGAGTTCTGGAAGGACTCCTCTACTCTGTCAAATTTGTACAAGTGCTTTTGAATTGAGAAATGCAAGACTTAGAGCATGTTTGGGTGGTTTATTCTTAAAAATAAGCTCTATACGTGTAGCGTATTTTGGTTTATTTGGAATGTAGGTGGGTCCATGTCAAAATTAAACCATGCGTTCAGTGCTTATTTTTAAGAACAAGCCACCCCTAACATGCTCTTAATTGACTGGTTGGTTCCTTTTGTAATGCTTCAGGGAGTTTGTTGACTGGATGGATCCTATTTCCTTTGATATAATGTGATTAGGGATAAGGGGTGTAGAAACTAATTTGTCGTGAGCTCATCTACAGATTGTTTCTGCATTTTCGGAATATAAGTACGAGAGACAAGTCTCATTATCTTTCTTCGATTTTCTACATGATGTAGTCACCAATACGGCAGCCAACTTAGGTTGATGCAAGCCAATGTAATGGAAATAATGAAGCAGCATCTTCTGCTAATATCATGCAGGAGAATATGATCAGTTTCTTTTCATGCATGATCTCATTATCCTTGATAATTCACTTTTTCCACAGCTTAGCAACCGTGTACTTTCTCTCAATTCAGTCTTGTTTTATTTAATCTTTCTCTTCCTCTAAGCTTATATTGTTCTTCCGTCCATGCATGCCGTCAAAGTTAGAGGCTCAGCTTGTAAATCTCTGTCACCTTTGTTGAAACTCTTTCTCCATATGTTACTGATCAGGCTTGTAAATTTATGATGTCTCAGGTACGTGTTGCTGAATATAACAATGTGCGCAGCCAGCTAAATGCCATAAACCGCAAGCAAGCTGGAAGGTATGCCTATGTATTTTGTGAGATTACACACCTTCATCTTCTGCTTGTTCAATTTAAGCATATATATTCTGCACTTGAGGAATGCATGATTATGTTTTGTGAGATTATTAGCAGGTCATCTTAGGAATAGAATTTACATTGTAAATTGTATAACTAGTAGACGAAATTTGCCCCGTATATCTATATATTTTATCATAATTCATCACCATAATTTCTTTTGCAGCCTGGCTGTTCGTGACCTGTCCAATTTGGTAAAGCCACAGGATATTATTACTTCAGAACATTTGACAACCCTACTTGCAATTGTTCCAAAGTATTCGCAGAAAGATTGGCTATCAAGCTACGAGGGACTCACATCCTATGTAGTAAGAACTCCATTTTCTATACCTTCCTCTACCAATTTGCTCTTTCTCTCTTGCCCTGTACGATGTCCCTTCTACATGTCAGCTCTCAAGGCCACTTCAATTTTGAATTGTTGATACACTGACTGTAGTAAAGATGCATCTATTCTGCATTCTTCCAAGTGATACTAGTGCTCACTAAAGAAATTACGTTAAATGCTGTTTTTGTCTGTCATATGGAGAATTATTTTGCTTCCATAAATTCTACTTTCTGAGTGAACTATTTTTTTTGGGTCCCCAGATCCTCCAAGAAGCTACACGAGGACAATGAATATGCTCTATATACTGTAACCTTATTCAATCGTGATGCTGACAATTTTAGAATCAAGGCACGCGAAAGAAATTTCCAAGTGAGTGGGTTATGGAGTATCTCATGGTTGGGCGAACTAATGCATCTCCTTTTTATTACTTTTGAGAGTATCTTATGTAATTTAATGTTGGATGAAGTCCTGATGAAATGTTTGTTGTTGTGTCATTTAGATTCGTGATTTTGGGGCGTCGAAAGCAATATAAGGATTAAAGCATTCTATTTGTGCACATTTTCTGACAAAATTCAAATTAATCTATTTTTATATTGCTTATCTGTCTTGGAGGTTTTTGGTCACCCCCCGTTTTTGGGTTAAAAACCTATTTGAGCACTAACCTTATAGGTGTACCTATTCGGTTCTCCAAACTTATTTTTCTTATGATTCCAATTTCTTACCACGATAGTCGCTACACACAACTCTCTTTGAATAGAAAGAACTTGCACGTAGCGGATGGAAATTCTACGTGGAATAACTTTATAACAAACAAGTGTGGTAATTAGTAGTCACGAAGCTCCTTCCTGGTAGGGGTGTCCAAAAGTCCCGAACCGAACCGAACCCGAACCGAACCGAGCGGGTCTTCATAAATTAAATACCCGAACGGGTACCCGAATCGAGATGGGTTATGGAGTATCTCATGGTTGGGCGAACTAATGCATCTCCTTTTTATTACTTTTGAGAGTATCTTATGTAATTTAATGTTGGATGAAGTCCTGATGAAATGTTTGTTGTTGTGTCATTTAGATTCGTGATTTTGAGTATAATCCTGAAACACAAGAGACCCGGAAGCAGGAGCTTGAAAAACTTACACAAGACCAGGAAACATTTAGAACCTCTATGTTGCAATGGTGCTATACCAGTTATGGAGAGGTATCCTCTTCTCTGTTTGCTCTAGAAAGCTCTTAAAATTTTGTCATCACTTTCAATTCTTAATTCCTTTTCACTGCATTTTGAACCTTGTTGAACTACATTTTCATTTTAACCGGAGAAAAATGGATCGTGCTCTAGGATTTTAGATTTACTTCCATGGGTGTTAGCCCCTTTCTGGAAGGAGATTGAAGTTGATTATGGTCTTACAGCTGATGGAAGGATGTTCCTGTGAAGTACATATTTTAAAATGTTTACTTAAAACTCATCTTATGTTCTGCAAACTGTGTCTACATTATTTTTTGATAACATAGTGTGGCACATTGATCTTCAGATATGGCTAAACTTGTTAAGAAGTAGGTTGCATTATACATTATGTTTGTTGACAAATGCAGTTTTGGTTACCTGAAGATGGTCTCTAGAACTGTGAATCAAATTTGAAATTGATGTACCCCTGTTTGCTTAGTTTGTTCAACTCAATTAGTTTCTTGGTAGTCTTTTTGTTTACGTTTTTTTTAATCTCTGTGGTGGATTCTGTTGGAAGAGAGGCCTTATTGAATTCATTTATTGCAAGCTTCCAGGTTGTTTGGCCCCCATTTTGGAGAAATTATAAATTTTGGAATTGTGATTGATGGGAGAATGTGTGGTTGAAAAATAATAGAAAGTTTTAGATTTGTGTGTAATATTATTTTATTTGGAGAATGTGTGGTTAAAATTAAGAAAGAGAATTTTTTAAAAAAAATTAATGGGGGCCAAACAAGAGCTTAATTGTTCGTAGAACTGTTATTCCTAATGGAGAATAACTTGGACTGTGAACTTACGAGGAGTAGAAAAGATCCCAGCTGGGGCCTCGAAAGCAATATAAGGATTGAAGCATTCTATTTGTGCACATTTTCTGACAAAACTCAAATTAATCTATTTTTATATTGCTTATCTGTCTTGGAGGTACTTGGTCATCCCCCTTTTTTTTGGGTTAAAAACCTATTTGAGCACTAACCTTATAGGTATACCTATTCGGTTCACCAAACTTAGGCCCTGTTTGGGAGAAATTTTAATCAAGATTTTAATCAAAATTCTAACCGTTAACTATCAAATCAGCCACCATTTTGGACATTCCCTCTCACAGGTGGAGCCCACGATTTAACTTTAACGGCTATAATTTTGATTAAAATCCCATAAAAATTTCTCCCAAACACACTCTTAGAATTTAAACAACAAATAGATTTTAATCAAAATTCTAGCCGGTTACTATCAAATCAGCCACCATTTTTGACTTTCCCTCTCACAGGTGGGGCCCACAGGTTGACTATAACGGCTATAATTTTGATTAAAATCTCACAAAAATTACTCCCAAACACGCTCTTATTTTTCTTATGATTCCAATTTCCTACCACGTTAGTCGCTACACACAACTCTCTTTGAATAGAAAGAACTTGCACGTAGCGGATGGAAATTCTACGTGGAATAACTTTATAACAAACAAGTGTGGTAATTAGTAGTCACGAAGCTCCTTCCTGGTGATGTAGGTAGAATTGGGCTATGTGGGATAAAAAATGTTTAGTCGGAATATTTTGCCGCAAGGGATAAATTGTTATTGGTCAAATCAAATGTGTTTTGACAATTTACAAAAAATAAAAAAATTGTAGCCCATTGAATTAAAATCAAATTTTGGGGAATAAAATAAAACCAAGTTCCATTTGCACATGCACGTTCTATACCAATTTCTGATTTCCATTTGCCACGTGCAAGTTTCATTACTTTTTGAGGTCGGAGTTAAGAATAGTGACTAACGAGGTAAGAAATGTGATGTTTAGTGATGATTTTGTAAGAAAATCAAGTTTGGAGACTGAAATAGGGTCCCACTCACAAGTTCAGAGCCCAAATAGGTTTTGACCCCTTTTTTAAGCAGTTGTTGATACGAAAAGACAGAGAATACCTCCTTCCGGAGGTACATGGCGGTCACCAATTTCAACTATCATTTGAAATGCAGCAACTTCTTTGGGTTTTAGTATACTTCTCTTTAAAAGTCATCTCTTGGTCCCTGCAGGTTTTCAGCTCCTGGATGCACTTCTGTGCTGTACGCGTCTTCACTGAAAGCATTCTGCGATATGGTTTGCCACCGTCATTTTTGGTAATTAATTTTCCCTTGAATAATTTTCTCCTGCGATATGGTCTTCCTTTTTTTTTTCTTTTTGTTTCGTGTATCTTCTGTTGTTACTTAAGTTGCTATGCTCAGAGATAATGACATTATATTTCAGTCTGTTGTGTTGTCTCCATCCATGAAAAGTGAGAAGAAAGTTCGTTCGATTTTTGAGGGACTCTGCGATAATTCAAAATGGTACTATATTTGGTTTCTTCTAAGCTACTTATTTCTTTCATGAACTCTATGCAGCCTTCTATAATAATATACCACAACCATGATATCATGGGACTACGTTACGAGTAGTCCAATTCGAATAAGTTGGCCCTATCCTAGGTGAATTTTGATGTGTAATAAGATATAGAGCACGTTTATAATTGTCCATTCACTGCATATAATTTATATTGCAACCATAAAGAAAGAATTTGGGATGTTAACTTCCTGCAATTATGCTACAGATCGTGACAGAAAGCTTTGAAGGAAGGACAGATAAATTTGAAGCTTTAATGTCATAATTTATTTTACTGTTAAATGGAATTGCCCATGTAGTTCTCTTCTTCTTTAGCCAAACAAGGTTTTCCTTATGGTCACATCTTTGATGGTCCTAGGATGCAAACTTTTGACGGAAAGAATACTTCTGTTAATATATTCTTTGTAACTGCAGTACTTACTGGAAAAGTGAGGAAGACGGAGGAGGAATGGGAAGCTTTGCAGCTGATACGGATGCACATCCTTATGTCTCCTTCACAATAAATCTTATTTAAGCTGAGGCATGGCATTGTGCTGTTCATTTTCCAAAAATAAGGACAGATGCGGCCTTTGTATTATAGAGTAAATTATTCAATTCATTGTTTTCTTCCAGAAGTAAATGCTGCTTGTGAAACATCTATTTTTCCTAATCCTCCATCGCAAACTTTTGTCTGTAGAAGCTTTTCAAATTGTAGCAGATTTCATCGTTGTCCATTTATGTTTGGTTTTCCAGTTGTATTGGAGCCACAAATATAATGTATTGTCGGTCTTGAGTTCTTTAATTGTATATTGGTCATCCAAATTTATGGTAGTAATTTTTTTACTCTCTCTCTCTCTCTCTCTCTCTCCCTTCGTTCTTGTGGCAGTGTAAACTTGTAGACACTGGTGGCTTGCCTAGTAGAAAAAAATAATAATTGTCCATTATTTATTTCCAGGGCTACATATTGAACATACTCGGAATAGACTTGATTATCTTTTTTAGTTAGGGTATCGACATTCAACCCCAACAACACGTTACACTGTCTACACACAAATGTACCTTGATCACTTAAATGTGATCAGACATGTTATGGAGGCAGGGGAAAATGGATTATATTATAGTACAATAGCATCGTGGTTTGTAACCAATGAGGCTGCGATTGTATCTATATGTGTCATTTCAATGATTGTCTGGTCTTAGATACCAAACATTTGTTGATTAGAAATATGAACGAACTCTTTGAGAGTAACTCATACACAATCAAAAAGAGTTAAAGTTACTTTATCAAACTCTTATTCGAACATAAAAGGTAAGGTAAGAAGAGATGCTCGAATTAAGTTTAAAGCACGAGTACTTGCATTAAGTCGTCCAAAATTAAATAAAAAACGAATAAGAGTACTTGGAATATTGATTGATGAACAGTTTTATTCCTTCTCCGCAAGACCATTATTTTCTCTTCTGGACGGCTTCTTACCCTTAACATATTTGCACCTTTGGGGCTTCTTTCCTTTCGATTCATTCACATCCTAATTGATTCCAAGTTAATTGTAAATCTTGTTCAAAAAGTAAATTCACGAGTCCAACAAAAACAAGTTAAGCCTTTATAATAAATATCGAGTCACCTATGTGCGTCTTTTTCATTTTTCTATATGTGCCATGCTAATATTGAATAACCGCCCCCCTCTTGTAATCATATCCCTCTTATCACTGGGAGCCTCTTTAAGTTTACTAAAAAATAATTTTATTATGAAGAGCTTCACTAGTAGGTGACGCCTTAACGAAATATGTATAGGGTTCATGTTGTAAAATTTGATATATCATGGAAAATATTGTAACAAAAGTTATGCTTAAAAAAAAGAGTAATGCTATTTATCATCACGATGATAGAATATCGGTGATGTGACAATCATTATCCTTCACATCCTCTCTCTCTCTCTCCTCCATTTCTCTCTCATGAAAATTGAATTATCCAATCGCATTATTTCACAGACTGCCGCATCACTGATGTTTCATCATCATAACGATAAATAGTATCATTCTTTAAAAAAACACCAAATCTAGAGCAGCCACTCTTAGAAGTTAGAATTTGACTTGACTACTAGAAGGTTGCTATTGCTTTGCTGTACTTTTCTGTATATTGAGAAACTCAAAATTCTGAATTCAAGAACTCTCATCACAAGAGTGAAGTTGAAGCCTGTTAATATATGGATTCATGTTGGTTTTGACACCCTCATACTGTCTCTCTAGAGAGAGCTAGAATTATTTTAGGGTGGGCTATCACTTTTTAAGAGTTGAATGGAACATGACTTTTGGTATGGGTTGAATCTTTTCTAAGGGTTGTTTGAGCCCTATTTTTTTTTTCTTTCCAAAAAATGCATTTTGCAATAGTTTTATGATGGAGAATGTATGGTTAAAAAATAAGAAAAAGTTTTGAATTTACGTATAATATTATTTTATTAAAAAATGTGGTTAAAATATGATCAAATCACTGTTTAAGAATGCATTTTAATTGAAAAATGGGATTCAAACAAGGGCCTAGGCTAATTTTACGAAGTCGGAAAATTTTGAACCATAGCTCCAATGGCTCCCATCTATTGATGGGCGGCATGTAGTGTCAACCTTATAAGGTTTTATAGTGAAATTTATTTTAAAGATGATAAAAACGCGAATTTTGAGAAATTTGTGCTTTGCAATATGTTGACCTAATTTATAAATAAATATGACAACTTGACCAAGTAGAATGATGGTACAAAGGGTCGAATATTTCTTTGTAAACTTTCAAGTGGAGAGCACCACTTCATCCATATTTTGTAGAACCACTAGGTTAGGTGCCATTGTCAAGAATTCTCAAATGAATAGTTATACTGTACAATAGTTTATCCTGCAACGGCCTTACTTCATATTTGATACATTGAACTGGATATAATTTAATAAGAGAGGAAGTAATAATTGCATGCCTAAAAAGCAAAGGAAATGAGCATATTATGAAAAGCCGACCCAACTTTTTGGATTCAAACTCTTGAGTTTAGATTCGTCTTCTTTAAAATCTAGATTTTAATCCATAACAAACAAGGGCGAATGTTATGTTCTTCAGAGGAAGGAACAAAATAATCCTCCAAAACATCAAACATAACTGCAAAATCTTAACATGACAATCAAATAAATACTGCTATATATATGTGTATGATCCCTATCCGCATATCCACCCTAGACAGGTCTCTTGTCGTACATGTACTGCAAAAAGACTGCATTCTGAAGATGCATGAAGTAGACAGAATGAATTTTTTGCTTTCAATCATAAGCTTTCGGCTTTAGTTCTTTGCAGGAGCAGGACTTCCACCTCCGGTAGTAGGCCTGCAAGAATATCGGGTTTGAATTGTTAGATAGCTTTTGACAGTATTAAAGAAAAAATTATCTAGTACTACATACTAAACATGCCGTAAAATAACTTACTTAAACATGACATATATGGGGGTTGGGAAGAAGAAACTCACAGGCCAACAAAAACCTTGAAAGCATCATAGATGCCCCATTGAGCTCCGGTAAGGGTCCCGATCATGACTATACGAAGAGGAAGACCTCGGGTGCACAAACCCCATAAGCCTAGCTTGTTCACAGCCTGAAAAATTACGATTAAGATAACATGTAATGAGAAATCATCGGAAAAGAATGTGTTAATTTGATGAAGAGAATATGAGTTTTAATACTCACATCACCAACTGTTGCTCCCTTGGCATTGTTGAGGAATGACACCAAGTTATCAGCAGGGTGTGACACGATAGCACATAATACTCCGGCCATATAGCCACCGGCAAAACTAACACCAAGCTGCAAATTTTTGCTGCACTGCTCTTTTGGAGTAGGGATGGCATGCTTGTATATTTGTTCCACAATATTCTCGAAAGTGGAGAACTTCATCATTGTATCTGAAAGAAACTCGATGCAATCATTAGTGATTCTTCCAGGCTAAACTGACACGCTAGTGGACGTGTATGAACGCAGACACCAGTCTAAAGCTCATAAAGAATTTGAAAGAGTAATGTTAAGTTGGCTTACATGGAATTTGGCGTCCCCAGAGTGGAACAATTCCCTTATAGAGTCTGTAATAGCACATTGTACAAGTATTCGACATCATCAAAATTTGTAGACAATAAACTCAAAGTGCATGTTTGGTATGCAGTATTAGATCATAATGAATAGTATAATAGATAATTGTTTTTTCACATTTGATACGGTCCACTACTGCCTAATTGACCTTACCAAACCTGTGACGAAGGTCAAGGAAAAAATGAATCATAATTACATGTAAAGATTGTACGTACCCAGCAGCGCCTTCAGCCCTAACAAACTTGGGGAATCCATCAGACAAGCCTCTGGCAAAGCCAGGTTGAGTCTGGACACGAACCTTAACCGCCTCAAATGGACAAAGGGCAACATCGGCAATGAGTTCTGCTGATGCAGATCCTGCGAGGTAGATCAATGTCTTATACTTGGCGGCATTCTCGGGACCAGCAATGTCGGAGTAGTACTTCTTGAAAAATTCATAGAATCCAAACTTGCAAGCTCCCTGTGCGCTGTATCCAAGCAGGGTTGGTACCCAACCCCTGAAAAAGCCTTTAACTCCCTGCTCCTTCAGAAGAATTCCAAAACCAGAGCTAATGCTCTTATACTTTGAAGGATCAATCTGAAAAACAATGAAGATTTAAATTTGATCTGTACAAGGATCTGTAAATGGATTTCTTTGAAATTGTTGCTTTTTTTTTCTCTCTTTATGATCTCCATGTTTGGCTAAAAAAGTTACTTTTCTAGGAACTAAGATAAGCTAACTTAACCTGCATGTTACACTTGACGAGATCAAGTGGGGTGACAGCCATATGAGTGAGCCCACAACTTAGTATCCCTCCAGCCGTGCAGGCGCCATAATACGCTGGCGAAAACATCTTTATACTACTCTCTTTCGGCGCCGGGATCAAAAAATCCCTCTTAATCCCAGCCGTTGATGATGCTGACGAAATTGAATCAGAATGTGCAGGTGAATTCACATTCCTCGTCAGATTCTGCTCCATCCCTTTCGATGTCAACGATGATGAATAAAGAAATGTTGGGATCAGAGATTGTCGTGTGTT